ACTCACCAGTGATTAACTTATTGCCCAGTACAGTGTTCTATTACCCTGAGCTGTACAGAAAGCTGTTGGGTGTATATGCGAGGAACATTATTGACATAGATAAGACAATTGTAATAGCTTTATTCCTCGGAGAAAAGCAGGACCATGGAGATAAAGATGCGAGGATTTTTGGCAACATGCCTTTATCGAAACACGAGCAGAAGTGAATTATCTTCACGTTGTGAATTCACTTCTATTGTTTCCGTACAGGCGTGTTGCCAAAATATCTACCCATCTATATATCCATTCTCCTGGCTTTTAGCTTAGGAATAAGGCTATTAGTCCCGTCTTATCTGGTCAGTACAGTCAGAGGGGGGGGGGGGGGGACGGAACCTAGTCGGAAGTAGGTCTGGCGATCCCACGGTGACGTCACCATGCGAGTGCCCGAGGGCATTTACGCGTTTAAGTGCAATGACAACACTGATTTTTGACTATCGTTCTCGAGAGTTTACTAAGCGTTTTTTTCCAACGAAAAGGGTCTCAAGACGTTTATTGGTATGTCTCCTAGCCAAGCCCGGGTACAAAACAGCTGTGGCTGGTCACATATTCCAACACAAGCCCGGATCACTGTACCATGCCTTGCATCCAATAACGGCGACTTTTACCACAAACATGGGGTGATTATCATCCCAACTGTCACATATTGTTTCGGACGTGCGGTCCCGATGCGGGCTGTTTCGAACCGGCGACAGGTATAGATGAAGTCAGCTGAATGCAAAAGAGATATTTTAGTGTTCAACCAACACGAAAGCGATAGCAGTTGTTTTCAATGCTGAGAGAAGCACCTAGCATTTTCATAGCCAGATGACCTGAGGCGTGGGAAGGACAGATGTAATGCAATTTTACCTGGTGTCTGTAATAACAATGTCTGGAGTGCCTGTAATCACGTGTTTAGGGTCAAAAGTGATGGTTTCCACTTAGTTCATTTTCTGAGATATTGGAGATTACGTCCTCAAGCTATGGGAAGGTCTACAACAGTCATGTTTGCGCTCCCACCAGTCATGTTTGCACTCATGGTCTCTAAAACGTCACCTCTCAACGCCACAAAACAACACATGGGTGTACAGCAACTCAGCGGAGGAGTCCACCTTCTTTACACCGTTCGGATTTGATTTATACACCGTGCACAGGTCCGCATAATGTTCGTCACGCGTGAGGTAACTCACGGAATGCCCGCGCACCTGCCAGGAAGGCGCTGAGAGTAACGAACACTGTCGCCTACCTTCTCTAGGGGCCTGCTAGTGCCGCTACGCCAAAGAACCGCCGCATTGAGAACAGCCAGGTCACAGGAGACCATCTCAGCCCGGTAACATATTATCGCCACCTGTTGCCCCAGCGCAGTCAGGTCCAGAGAAGAAACTTCCGCTCCAGCGCAGTCCGGTCAGATGACGGGCCTCCTCCTCCGGTGCAGCAGATGACGAGCCGCCTCCTTCAGTGTAGTAGATCACGGGCCGCCTCCTCCGGTGCAGCTGGGCCACCGCTCACCTTGCAAACTGACGCCTCTTCAGCCTCTCGCGGTGCTGCAGAGCTTCCTTTTGGCGCATTCGGTTCAGAAAGCTGAGCCGGATGAACGTGCGCAGCCGAACAAACCGGCGAACCACCCGGACATCCAGGGGACCTGGCTCCGCGCACAGGGTCGCTACCATCGACTCGATGACTCTCGGGCAGTGAGAGAGTAGGTCCGGTTCGAGATGGTGACTTGTGCAGAAGGTCGACTCCATGGTTTTGAGCTTCTCCATCCACTTGGTGGTTGGGACACTCATCCCGCCCTGGCTGAGCAGGCGGGTCCACATGGTCTGGACCGGCGCCGTTTCCGCGGCAAATGCCGAAGGAGTCCCGAGGCTGGGGTCGACTTTTCGGCACTTTGCTGACAGTTAGCCGGCCGCATGGGCCATCCCATACTGCTCGGCCGAGACGCCAGTCTTGGGGTCTGTTGGTGATACAGTGGAAGGCGATGGGGTAGGTCGGCTTTGGTTGGCTTCTTCCAGGAGCGACTCAACCTCTCTCATGTCGCCAGTGGTCTGCTGATTCTTGACAAGATGCTCCTCCAGGAAATCAGCGAGGATAGCGTGGCCAATGGGACCACCGTCTTCTACTCGTGATAGAGGTGCGGCCGCTGGCAGGCGCTGCGTCAGTGGGTTCAAGCCCAGCATCAGTGCGTACATCAGCGTCAGGCTGCGCACCCGACACTTAGCATCGCTGGGACTTGGATGCAGGCTCGAACCTCCTTTCCCACGCACCAACCCGAAGTGCGATTCAAGGATGTCTTGGTGATGTCTCGGCCCGGCATGACGTAGGTATCCGGGCCGAGGACAGACACAAGGTCACCCACAAGACCCTGGATGAACTTGATAGTGACGATGAATCCTTTTTGGAACGGCAGTAGCAAAGTTTTCTTGCCAAACGTCAGCAACATGGGCGTCTCCATGTCAGCCAGCGCCTTGCAGTGGGCCGCACTGTCAGGGTTCATGCCACAGCAGGGCTGTTTCAAGTCTGTGGGACACTACCCGTTAAGGGCGTCGAAGCCGTGGTCAAACACGCGCAGGTACTGCGTCTCTTCATGCCGGTTCGTAAAGGTGTCGACAGCTGTCACTACGGGCTCGCTGAGGAGTTGGACGGCTGGGCGAACTCTCTGGCGCTGCTGTCCAGTCACCTGGAATTAAACAGAACAAATTTAGCTGATCCGTTGTCACAAAACGTTTCGTGGATACAACACCAGCTAATAAGGTCCAAACGCATCGATACCATTATCATCGCATTACATTATCATTGCAGATAACTACCACATTACAACCGGGGAAAATTGTCCGTACCTCCAGATGGCTTTCCACGCCAATCTTGGGAAGGATCCGAAACTCCTTGTCGCCGTCGATGGCCAACACATCAGTTAACAGCTGTTTATTAGTTCGACCACCGTTGGGAAGGCGCAGGCCGTCGTCAAGCAGGTGGATGCGCAGCAGCTTGTAAAGGTGAGGCGTATCCGCGAACATCCGGATGTTGCTGAAATGAGTTTATTCGTGTCAACTTTCGGAAAGATGCATTGCTAGGACATATGAAAAAGTTGACGGGCATGCACATGACATGGTTATGACTGGTTGCGATACAGCAAAACACTTTTTACTCGTTGGAATTTGGCAAATCGCATAGATATAACGTAACAAGTGAAACAGCCACGAATTGTGCGCCTCATCTTATGTAAACTCAGATATTCATCGACTCATTCTCTATGCCGCACTTTTGTTGATCGCATTTTCATAGATGTCGCTCGCAAATGAGCCAAGTTCACTTGGTTGCACGGCATCTTTTTGCGCCGCGACGGAACGGCGCCGCCCGGTGTCTCGGCTGACGCCAAGTTTTTGTTTCCCGACTTCACAATTGATGCGGCTACACTTTCAGTCGCATGGCGAATTTGTGCAACGCACCGTTGCCCTGCAAATTGCAGGACACATTGCCAGATGCCGGCGCCTATTATAACAACCGCTTCTGTCAAAAGTGTTCATAATCTGACGTTGAAAACAGCATCGGCGTATTGGTCAACTCATTCTCTATTCCACACTTCTTTTGATCGCATTTTCACACATGTCGCTCGCAAATGAGCCAAGATTAGTGCTTTGCACGGCAGCTTTGCACGGCTTACGCCGAATGTTGCTCCAAGGTTAACATTGGAGCTTTGCACCAAAATCTAGACACCGGTGGGGGTTGCAGCGACACAGGAATGACGGTTTACCATGCGAAATGGTGCGGGTCACACGTATCACGTGGCATGGGCTCAATGGTGGATTTTACTCCCTTCCACGGGTTTGCGCGTGTCGTGTCACATCTCGGCACCCATGGCACCACTACACTCGGGATTGGCGTACTTCGATGACGAATGGAAAAAGCGAGATGGTGTTTCACCCTTCGATACAATGTAATGCTGTATAATACAACGGCAATGCTACCATCGTTCAAAGGCTGACAGTTGATGGAAGGGGTCAAAATCACCGGCCACACCCCAGGACCATTCGCCCATCCCATGGAATAGGTTTTGCTGTGTTGCAGAGAGTGCGGTGAAATGCGCTCTCTCCTGCCGGCGGCCGTCAGTGACCGCCAGCACCGCGTGCGGCCTACGGCCGAGTCTAGACACAAAAAAACAGCTTGCTGGTGCAGGTATTGCAGAAAAACCTACAAACAAAAATGTTGATGTTACTCCTCCTAGGCCCAATATTTCAAATCGGGTTTATAAAAAGGCGGTGGGATGTTTTACCATACACGACATGCACCTCGATTTAGCACACGCCGTTTGCGGGAACTTCTTCGAGAGGTGAAGGATAGAACTGGAGTGGATCTCACGGGCGATTAGGTTCCTCCACTTTTAGGGTGATGTTGCCTTATGTAGGACATTTCTTGCAAGCTAGCACGTAGCATAAATTATAATTCACCAGCTGACCTGTGTCTGATTCAAAATAAATCGGTTAACGGTACGTCAATCAAATTGCATTCGGATGAGTAGCATATAATGAGTTTCTTTGCTAAGAAATCCTATGCGTGTCGTAAATCAAACCCTTGGCCTTTCAGCGCTGGAGCAATACGCGTCACGCGGTCCTCCCAAAGGCCAAATTAATTTGTTTCCGTTTAAAAGGTCATCGGAGGAAGGAGGAAGCTACTGTCACCTCATGGTTCATTAAATAGCGTCGGGTTCGTGTTGAGACATCACAGCGGAGCATCTCACTGGAGTTCTTCACATCAAAATAGGGCTGAGAATTCGATATCAAGTTGCCTCCACCACGCACTGTTCAGCGCGGAGAAGGCGACCTCTACCAAGGCTATCACTGTTCTCTCCCAGCCAATTTTCCAAACCGCCAGGTCTACACCGCGTTGCAGAGTGCATCTGCGTGCGGTCAGCCGGGTCAAACATTTGCTTGGTCTTCACGAGTATAAAGAGGGAGCAGGCTCATGTGGAGGCATCAGTGTCTCTCTTTCAGTGTTCAGAGAGCTACCCAGACGAGAACCATGAAGCTGTGTCTGTTTCTGGCTGCGCTGGTAGCTCTGTCGGCCGCCGCCGAAGACAAGGAGGCTGACCAAGAGATCCAGGCCAGCGGGTACTCTTCCGCTTTGGCAGGACACGGCAGGTACTTTGCCGCTAGTTCTTCTCAACTTACACCTTGCCTTGGTGCATTCGCTTCGCGTATATCTCAAAATAAGATGTGGTTCGAAATCTTATCTGCTCCTTCCCGCGAACATCATCACACGGCTACCTGATTCAGCCGAAGTGCCAAATATGTCCCAGCCTCTAGTGCCAAATCTGGAATTCCGAAGGATCGGCATAAAAAGGAGCAGAACCATGACATGTCTTTGTGGCTATTAAAATAGCTGCAACTTCTTACTTTGCGGATGATATTGCCTCAACATCATGTACACAACGTAAAATCTTAAATCGGTGCAAGGTGGAGAACATAAACGCTTTCAAAGCAAACGCTACGGCTCATTCGATTTGAATGAGCCGTAATGAGAATCAGGTCTATCAGATGAGCCTGATAAAGTATGATGAGCATGCCATATTATTCTCCGTGCATTTCAAAACCGATGTCTCTTCCACGCGGCACGACGAATTTAAGTACCACTCAGATAAGCGCTAACGTGGAAAGTAGCGAAATAAGAGCGTTAGCATAAAAAGGGCCATTTGTTTATGGAACGCGAGCCCACTCGTCTGTTTTTGGTGTTCATGGATCATGATGCCTGAAGTGATTGCCAAAATAGGGCACATGAACATGTGTTGGACAGCATCTGTATGGGCCTGTGAAATATTTCACACCGTGGCTAGTTGTCGTTCTGCATGGTGGGAACGAAAACGCCGGCCTCGACGTTGTTTCCAGGTGTGGACCAGTCATGACAGAATGCTTATAACTGTTTGACCCTTCTGCCCGCCAATGGTGGTAGCCATGCACCCAGACGGCCTTGCCTTGAGCAGTGGAACATTATCAGGACAGAACTAACGCACGAATACTTGCCTCAGGAACGGCTTCCGCAGAGGTCGGAGCTTCGGCGGCTACGACAACCGGGCCCTCGGCTACAACGGCAACTACGGCCAGAGCTACAACAGCCGCTCCGGACGTGGTTACGGGCGCAGCTTGAACGGCTACGGAAACTACGGGCTGGGATATAACGGATATGGTGGATACTACGGCAACAGCGGCCTCGGCGGCTATGGTGGATACGGTCGTTTCGTCAGCAGCCTACGGAGGGTACGGACGTCGCCTCGGAGCTTACAATGGCTACAATGGGCGCTCCGGGGCCTACGGCGGCTACGGCAGGCGTTCTTCCCCCTACAGCCGGTACGGCGGACGCAACGGAGCGTATGACGGGTATTATTGAAGAATATGCCCACGGCAACGGCCTGAAGCCGGTGTGTTGACTATGCACAAGTGGTGTTCCCGGGACCATTATGGCTGTCTCGATCCTGCGAATATCAAGGGTGCGCCACGTCTGAAACCTCCTGTTTAATGTCGCAGTGTCTGCTGTTAGACGGACACCGTCGAGTTCCCTCAATAGTCTCTATGCTTGCTTTATCATGATTTTGTGTGTTCTTCTTTTGACACACCGAAACGCCGGAAACAAGAATACATTGTTTGCCAGGAATGCTTCGTTTTCTTGGATAATAATGACGGACATCGCCTGTACGGCACGGCTTGTTATATTTTATTTACAAGCGTAGTAGTTGAATTAGAGGGATCGGAAGGGTGGCTGACAAGCCATCCCCTCATGTTACTTCGCTAACATTAAGATAAACGAGAACTAATATATTGCAGCTACAAACCACACATATGATTGCCTAATATGTCATGACAAAACAACGTCATGCGATCCATAACTTGTGCCTAACTTAAAAAGACAGACGACGGAGAGCACAGATGGAAGGTGGGTGTTTTTCTATGTACAGCTTGAGTACAGAAACACATCACGGAGCACAGGACCACACAGGTGTCGGTGCGGCGTCGGTGCGTCCGTCGCTGCATCATGCAGTAAGTGCGCTTCATGCAATCGGCCGACCCGTGCTACACCAACACCTTTAGTATGATGATGTGCTTTTCATCCTCTGCCTCGCGTTCCTGCATTTTAAGGAAGAAGGCAAGCTACAGTTGGGATTGTCGCTTGCGAATTGACATCCTGCTGCCTCCAGCGGGCACAGAAAGAGACCACAACGACCATCTTCACTTTCTGTCTTCTTCCAACATACATATCCGTCTCGCCAGGGGGTGCACTTTGCCGCCGCGGACTGAGAAGCGGTCGATCGCACGCGACCGTCCGGACCAGGCAACACCTCCGACACGCGGCCGGGCAGCCATGGCCCGTGCGGCGCGTCGTCTTCCACCAGCAGGACCAATTAACCCGCATACCAGACTCCTTGCCTCGTTTGTCCACTTCTGGCAGTCGGCCAGACCGGACACGAACTGAACCGGCGTTTCCAGAAATGGTTAGCTAACGCCCCTCAGCAGGCGAAATTTCTTCTGCTAGCCGTTATGTCGACCAGTCTTAGTGACCAGGGGACAAAAAATTATATTTCGACGAATCTGAAGCCGCAGTGAATATCAAATATGGCTGCCGGCAAATCAGCATGCGCGGCTGACAGAGTCTGTCGTGTCGTCATCGAAGGGCGATGCAGGCGTGCACATCCTTCTTAACCGCTTCTCCTCGCTCACAGGATCCAGTATTTCTATCGCGGGCTGTTGAGAGCGTGATCCGCCCTTGCGTGCACCAGCTTCTGGTGAGCGGCCGCGATCAGCAGCCACGTCACGCAGCTGCCTCTCGGCAGGATCAGGGGTTGGCGAGATTCCTCCGGCATCTCTTGGCAGACAGCCAACTCCTGGCAGAAAGCCTCGTGTTGCAGTTGGTGAACGATGACAGATCTCGCTTCTCGGAGCTCAAGCGCGGATAAGGGACTGGACTCGTTTTTTGTTAGTCAGGGATTCTTATAGATAGATAGAAGATCTTATAAAACGCATCAGCAAGACGGGTTGGACTTGTATTAAATGCCAGAGTTCTGTTCTCTAAGTTTTAATGTAAATGCAACTCTACGCGTAAGATTTGCACCAACACCTGTAAACAAGAGCGCTTTGAATTTGATTTTGAACTTGGAAGTTCTATCTCCAATCTTAATTCGAATATACCTTCATTCGTATTTTCTGGTGGCGAATGAATCACTCAGTCCAAATAAGACCCCTGTTGCGACTGTGCCATGGGCTCCCCTGTTGCTGCGATGAACACTGATTTGCCGTCTACTCCATTCACTGTGTATACTGCTGTGTTTGCTTGAGTGGTGTGGAAATATCCAGCTTTTTAAATCTATGTCATCCTTAATTTGGGTTTGCCAGCGTAGCGCCGGACGGCCTAAGCCAATTATAGCAAATATGCTGTGCGGGTAAATCATATAGTAAATCCATATGAAATATAACAAGTCCAAATAAGGTAAATATGTTGCACCGGACGACCTGAGCCGATCAAAGGAAATATTTTGTGCCGGGTTCCCACGTAACCGGTTTAACGTCCCCACCTCCAGGTAGTTTCTGAAGATCGCTTGGGGATAACGCAAGAAAACACTGGCGCACTCAAAAAGTTATCGGTTGACTGGCCCTTGCCGCCCGCTGTGCCAATAATAAACAGGCTTTTTAGACGTCATTTATGCTAGTAAAGGTGCCGCTTTTCGGCCCGCAAACCCGATATGTGCGTGTTAAAACAGCTCAAAAATGGGATCTCTAACACGCAACAGCGTAGGCCACGTTCCTCACAACTAGAACTTCCTGATGCAACGAACTTCGGCGTTTCGACATGTGCTCTGCACAAATTCACGCTGCAAGCGTCACAGAGTAAAGACCAATACCAGCGTCTGTGGTAATCCGTTTTTAGTTTCCATTTTGTGATTGTGTCCATTTGTTTGTTGCAGGAGTGATGGCAGTTTGTTTCATTACATCTTCAGCTTTAAGTTGGTTCAGTGATTTTGGTGCTATGTGTTTTGGGCCCAAATGCGGTGTGTGAACCCCGCCGGCTGATATCCATGTATTGGTGGGGAGGAATGCCCCAAGTGCGGTGAATTTATTTAATATTTACCTTTTTTTCATTATTATTATTATATTATATATATATATAATTAAGTTGTATCTTTAAATAACTATTTAAAATTTAATAATGTTATTTTACCGGACACTTAATGTGTGCATCTGCAACATTTGCATGGAAGTTATTTTCTTCGGATGGCTTCAGACCACAACGCAAGCAATTCTTTGGTGCTAAATGAATGATGGCCTTTAGAAACGCGCGTCAAAAGCAGCGATTCATAGAAATATGGCGGTATTTTTTCCTGCTGGTGTCCGTTCAATGTTGTGCAAAAGTGCGGGACGCAACACGCAGCTACGGCGCCAGCTCGAGGCGGAGTAACCTCCCCGCAGCGGTTCCCGTCCCTTTGCGGCCCTGATAATTGCGGCCCTGATAGAAAATGGATTTCGAAATTGGTTTTAGCTCCCACGCTTTCTGAGATGTTTTGCTCACGTATGCTCTTAAGCAGCCAGGCTGGTCTAAGAGAATTTTCGAGACCGCTCCACATTGCTTCACAAAAAACAACAAAATGCTACGGATAATGCACAAACACATGTCACTATAAGGATCGGGCAAAAACGAGCGTACGGCGGTGACTTTTCTCGCTAAAAATGTGCTGGAAAATTATAATCAAAGATCGGATATGTTCAGCGTGATATGTACAACGTGGATGTTGATCTTAGGTATATTGTCTTACATCGCGCTGCACTTCTTTGTATGGATGCTAAGCTCATTCTTCTGTATTAAGTGGCCTGAACACTGCGCTGTTCAGCGCAGAGAAGCCCGCCTCCGCCGAGACTGTCGCTATGCTCTCCCAGCTTGTTTTCCAAACCGCAATGTCTACACAGCATTGCAGAGCGCAGATCAGTGCGGTTAACCCTGCCACGCATCTCCTTGGCTTGCCGCTACCGTTTCCACGAGTATAAAGAGAGAACGCGCCCATGTGGAGGCATCAGTGTCTCTCCTTCAGTGTTCACAGAGCTACCAGACGAGAACCATAAAGCTGTGTTTGTTTCTGGCTGCGCTGGTAGCTCTGACGGCCGCCACCGAAGACAAGAAGACAGACCAAGAGCCCCAGGCCAGCGGGTACTCTTCCGCCTTGGGAGGATATGACAGGTACTTCGATGCATGTACTTCTCATCTTACGTTTCGCCAGGCTGTCCACAAATTTGAATGCGGCTCGATTTCATACAATTTTGTCGAGGATAAGGACATTTTTGGCGTTTATTTGCACTGAGCTCGGCGCATGAACTCATCACCAACATTGAATGCTTGGTTATGTATTGGATAACATGTGTGAGCCAGTGGCATACTTCACACTCCTGGCCATTCGCAATTCCGCATGGTGGAAACGAAACACCAATCGATGACATTTTTAGTCGTGGACCGGTAGTGAAAAAACTAGAAGAACTAAAGCACTGACACTCTTTTTAGGAGCGGCGTCAGCAGACGGGCTTGCAGCTTCGGCGGCTACGACAACCGGGCCCTGTACACAGGTAACTACGGCCAGGCCTACTACGGCAACAGGCGCTCCGGACGTGATTACGGGCGCAGCTTGAACGGCTACGGAAACCACGAACTGGGATATAACGGATACGGTGGCTACTACGGCAACAGCGGCCTCGGTGGCTATGGTGGATACGGTCGTTCGTCAGGAGCCTACGGAGGGTACGGACGTCGCTCAGGAGCCTATCACGGCTACAATCGGCGCCTTGGAGTTTACGGGGGCTACGGCAGGCGCTCTTCTCCGTACAGCCGGTATGGCGGACGCAACGGAGCGCATTACGGACATTATTGAATGCCTAATCGACGGACACGGTTTGAAGTTAAGTTGTTGATTGTACGCCAATGTTGTTTCCGCCTGACCATTCTTGCTGTTTCCATCCTGTGAAAATCAAGAATGCGTCACTGTCGGTCCCGGCGTCACTGTCGACACGCTGTTTGCTTTACGGGGAAGCCTACCACTTTTTCTGATTATGGCTTATGTCTACTTGAGTGCAGTCTTATTGTATTCTAACTTTTATTCGTATGGCACCCCAAAACGAAGGGCACCGAAATACATTATTTTACTCGTGATGGCCTATTTGCTTGCCTAC